TATGCCTACTTTTCTTCATGCACCTCAAAACTCATGTACCCTGAGTGGCTCTAGGCAGAGCTGAGGGCTTCTGCTTCTATAGGTCCTTGTTCATACTCCGACTTTGTTCTTCTCTCATTCCTGAAATTATCTCCTTTCTAATCTATTTTCCTTCCTTATTAATCGTCATTCCTTGTGAGCACCGAGGGGTTGGTGGGAAGGCCCAGGTTCTATTTGACCTTATATTTCCAATGTATTATATAGTGCTTGAGAAATAAATTGTTTTGGCATTAATGAATAGAGATGTGAAAGATTATAAATATTTTACCCTTTTCCCCAAAAATATCCATGTGTGATTGGAACATGGCATGATGGTGTGTGCAAGAGGAGAGGGGAAGTGAAGGCAGGCTGTGGATGGGTGTAAACAGATGAAGCAGTTCACACAGGTAGGCAGGGCCCATATTGTGAAAGGCCATGTATGCCATATTAGATAGTTTGATCTCCATCCTAAGAAGCATGAAAATCCACTGAATGAGAGTAACTTTGTCAGATTGTTTCAAAATGAGTATTAGCCATAGTGTGCAAGGAGGGTGGAAGATTGGGGAGGATGAAAGAGGATCTGAGGGGAGTAGGATTAGTGGCAGAAAACTCATACTTATCCAAGTTCAAGGTAAGGATGAACTTGTGGTAGGATCATCATCAACAAAGAGATGTTTGAGCATCAAACTAAAAAATGCTGTTTTTAAAAACTTTTTTTTTAAAAATTAAAAAAATCTATTGGGATGACATTGGTTAATAAAATTATATAGATTTCAAGTGTATAACTATAGGATACATCATTTGTATATTGCATTGTGTGTTTATCATCCAAAGTAAAATCTTATTCCATCACCATATATTTGAATCCCTCTACCTTTTACTATCTCCTTGACTATCTCCCCTGCCTCTTCTCCTCTGGTAAATACCATACTGTTGCCTACATTTTTGTTTGTTTGTTTGTATTGGTCATTTGTTACTTCCAGTTTTATATCCCACATATGGGTGAAATCATAAGGTTCTTGACTTCTTCTTCTGACGTTTTCACTTAGCGTGATACTTTCAAGATCCATCTATGTTGTTGCAAATGGCAGTATTTTATCTTTGTTATGGCTGAGTACTATTCCACAGTATATATGTACTACATCTTCTTTATCCAATTGTCTATAGAAGAATACTTTGGTAGTTTCCATGGACTGGCCACCACAAATAATGCTGCAATTTGAAAACACTTATTCACAAAAAGAGGGCTATTTTTGAGCCAAGGCTATAAGACAAGCAGAGCTGAAGAGGAAGATTTGAAATGATCTCTTTTGTGTGGAGAGAACTGTAGAGTTTTCCTGAGTTCTTTGACCATGCACAGAGGCTTAAAAAGGTGCTGTTTAGCAAGACCTATGGGGCAAGAGGAGGTGATCAGCAGGGCAATTAGATCCAAATTTTGAGCTTGGAGTTTAAAATTTAGGCTGTTTTCCTGGGTCAAATACATGCAGGGAAGCAGGGGGAGACCTCAGTTAAGTGTTGATCCTAACTGAAATCTGTCCATGGTAAGATGCTTGGGGAGAGGCCAGGGAGAGTGCCTTCAAAATCTGAGAATGACTGGTTCTCTCTGAGCTCTCAAGAAAGCTTGCCTGTTGGTAGAACCACCCCCACTTGGAGTCTTGTTCTTGTCCTAAAAGTGTTTGGATGCTCTATCTCCACTCAGGGCAGCCCTGGCCTTGAAAGGCTAGTGACAAGGACTGCCCGATTTCTCAGGGCACTGCACACTTTACCTGCCAGTGGTTAGTAATGAGAGTAATATTGTCATGAGGGTCACTTTAAGGGAAAGCCCTGATGCCTGGAAGTCCAGCCTGCTCTGGAGAACTTCTCCAGCTCTCTATCCTGGAAGCTCTGGGAATCTCTTTAGGCCCTGATGGCTCCCCTCCCCTTCTCCAGGCCTGGGGAACCCATGTTCTGCTCTTTCTCTGGCTCCCTTTTGCTTGTGTCACCTGGTTTCTTTGCTCTAATTCCCCCCTTTTTAGGCCCTCCCCTCCCCCCCCCCCCCCCCCGCCAACTCCCCATTACCTGTTGCCAAGCCATTCTCTAACAAGTTCTCCACATCCTGTCCTATCCTATCTCTCTACTCCAAGGGCCTTCCAAGCTCTGAGCCTTTGCTGTAACCCTAAATATTTGTGCCAAACTGTTTAAGAGGTGGCATGACCTGAAAGGCCCAGAAAGAACTGCTGCCTTTCAGCATTTCTCCCTTCTCCTAACACAGTGTACCAGTGCCTGCCTTCAGAGAGGATTCCTTCAGCTAAGAACTCTGCCCCTGCAAACTTGCAGGGCTAGTAACATCTATAGGGCCCTTTAAAGATTTCAAAAAATTTTTAAAAAGAGATTTCAAAATGCTTGCACTTATATTACATCAAAATGTCAGCATGAGCTATACATTTGCTTCTTATCCTTGATAGCCAATAGCCAGAAGAAGGAATGGCTTTCAAAGGCCCTGATGGTGGATAGGAAAGTGCAGACTTAGAATATGGGGGAATCAAACGTGGGAAGGGGCCTTGGGCAGCTCAGAGAAAAGACAATCTATAGACAGGCATTTACAGGACTCTAAAAACAAGTTATGCCTGTTTTTTCTCTTAGATTTGGGCCTCTTCCTGACTTTAGTGTCTACTATTTTTCTCTCAAAATCTCTGCTCCTGTTCCTTCATCTGCATCTGTAGCACAACCTAAGGTACCTTCAGCCAGTGGGATGGTGGAGATTAAATCCAGCTATGATGTCTGTGTCAGAGAATAAGCAGAGAGAGCAGCCAGAATGACCAGTGGGGCCCTGGAGGCCAGCTTCAAACCCAGGTGGCACCGTCAAGGCATGGTGGCTCCTGGATAGTGGTTTGACTAAAGCTTTGAGTTGACTCTGAATATGAGTTGTCCTAAGTCACAATTGTGAATGTGAGTAAAGTGGTGAAGGAAGGTTTGACTTTGATGAGCTTGGTATAGGTAACCTTTGTTACCTTTACCTAGCTTTCTGGTCTCCCACAACATGGGCTGCAGCCCACAATATAGAAATAAATTAAGGAAGCTTTACTCTGCTGGTCATACTTGTGTTTCCTGCATGAAAGATGCTAAGTTACCTGCCCAGTTACACATCAGGATGATCTTTGGCTTGTGAGGCATGCATTTGGAGGTCTTCAGGCTTTCCCTCAGGTGTGAAGTCCTATTCTTAGTTCTGCCCTGGACTAGTTGGTGGGAAAGCATGCAGAAAAACATGAGGGAGAGAGATGAGGAAAGACCAAAACCAACGAAGAAGCCCCTCCCTTGATGTCCTGAGCTGGAGGCTGCTCTATTGTACCACCAGCATGCATGCCCACTCTTGCCCTCTGTGTTCTGTCTCTAAGCAGTCTCTTCCAGAAGCCACTTACCCTTCAAAACTAGCTTTAGGTTTAATTCCTCAGGAATTGACCTAGCTTTCTGGTCTCCTATAACATGGGCTGGAGCCCATGATATAGAAATAAATTAAGGAAGCTTTACTCTGCTGGTCATACTTGTGTTTCCTGCATGAAAGATGCTAAGTTTTTCAGGTGCAGGGACCAATGTCCTAGGTTTACTGAAACTGCCCAGCAGAGAGCGTGCACATAGAAGCTGCTCCACAAACTGGTAACTGGCCAGAGCTCTGGACAGTGACCAGGAAGAGCTGCTGTTTGCTAATTAATTAGTTAATTAATTAATTCACTTATTCATCCAGCAGGGCTAAGGGCTGAGCATGATTTATAAGGTGTAATTTCTATTCACACAGATCTTAAAATGAAAATAATGAGAGCAATTATAACAACCTTTTGTTGCACACACATAGGCTACTTTGCATCACATCTCTAGTTCTCATGCTTATTTTAATCCTGCACACTTGGGATTCTCTTCCCTCTACAGTTGAAGAAAGAGGCTCAGAGAGGTCTCAGGATCAGCAAATGGAAGAAATGAAGGTACATCCCAGGTGGCAGACCTGAAGCTTAAGTATGGGTGGCAGAGCTGAAGTCTAAGCCCAGGTGGCAGAGCTGAGGGTCAAGTCCAGGTGGTAGAGCTGAGGGTTAAGCCCAGGTGGCAGAGCTGAGGCTCAAATCCAGGTGGCAGAGTGAAAGTTCATCCCAGGTGGCAGAGCTGAGGCTCAAATCCAGGTGGCAGAGCTGAGGGTCAAGTCTAGGTTGCAGAGTTGAGAGTTAAGCCCAGGTGGCAGAGCTGAGGGTCAAATCCAGGTTCACTGGACTATGCTTCTCTGCTTGAAAGTGTTCCTCAGAGGTTGGAAAAGACTGGGTCTGATCAGCTGTGAGACCCTGGCACCTTGTGGCCCCTGACTGGGACTTTTGTGCAAAGTGGAGCTGCAGTGTTTCATCTCCAGTCCCCCCACTTCTAACATGCTGCGTTCCATCACCCGCTGGGTTCCTCTCCCTCTCGGGTGCTGTTGGGAGTCTTTGGAAATAGCACTGCAGTGCTGTCATTAGAAGGGCTATGAGCTCTGAGGCCTTGGGGGAGCCAGAAGGTGTGTGGGGACCCCTCAAGGGCATTGGAGGCTGTCCTTTTGTCAGAGGACACTTCTGCCCTCAGTGGGCTCACCATTGGTTTGTCCTTTCTCCTTCTTTCTTCGAGGAGTGGTGCTGGCTGGTCTGGCTGTCCCGGGAGAGGACCTCAGTCTAAGTCTTTGGCATTAATTCCAGATGTGTCTGCAGACAGTGTTCACTTACCTTGGCTCCCCTGATGCCACCCTCTTGTCTGGGTATTATAAGAGATTATGATAGCGATCATCCACAGGGGCTTCTGCTGGTAGCTCCAGGCTCCATGTCCATTCTCTTCTCCCCTATGGCCAGTGTGACCCTGAATTACCAAGGCTCTGAGGAGACATGCCATTCTTTTAGGACTACCCATTGTGTTTCCCTCAGTGCCTCAGCTCTTCTGTGTCCTGACTTCTCTATCACCTGAAGTGGCTTTGCCTGCTTTGTCTTTTCCTCTCACAGACATCCCCTTGCTCCCTGGCTCCCCACGCAGGCTGAGCCCTCGTGCAGTGGCCAGGGGCAGCCAGGGTGACAAACAAGGACAGCAACACCTCAAGGTGCCAGATCCCCCAGCCACAGGTCTACAGGGAAGCTCCAACCAAGATTCTGGCCAGCTGTCTGATGAAGAGAGCTCCCACAACAGCTCTGTGAGTACTGGGCTTGGGGGGATGGCCAAGGGGAGCCTCATGACTGGGGAAATTCCACTTGGCAGGGGCAGGTAGGTGTGTGTGTGTGTGTGTGTGTGTGTGTGTGTGTGTGTGTGTGTGAGAGAGAGAGAGAGAGAGAGAGAGAGAGAGAGAGAGAGAGAGAGACTCAGGGTTTTTATTAGGCCCATTTTCCTTTCCTTTCTCTATAAGTCATGACAGTGTAATGTCCCAGTTATGCTGGAGTCTTTTGGTCAGAGGACTTGAAAGGAAGAGGTGTGAGAGGCCCGGTGATCCCACCTGTCGGTCTGCAGACTCTGCAGCTCCCCTCCCACTTCTGCTGTGGTGGCTCTGGAGGCTTTTCCCTGTGCCTGGTTGCCCAGGTGACCTCTCAGGTGGCTGCTGAGGCAGCTGGGTATCAAGCCAGTAATAAACAGGGAAACACCCAAAGGGGAGGCAGGTCCCTCCTCTGCTCCGCCTCTTTCTTTCTCCTCTTCTTTCAATGTCCCATCTCCACAGGTGGACGGGAGCAGGAGTCAGTCTCTTGCTGCCACCAGAGGCTAGAAAGGAGGAGGAAGAGGATGATGTGGGGCTGTGAGGGGCATAGTGTATAGTGAATCCCCGAAGGGTGGGAGGTGGGGGTTGGCCAGGTGACCAAAAATTGGCCTTTGTTTCAATGGATCCAGAGAACCTGCCAGTGAGTACTCTGAGTGTGTGTGAGTGTGTGTGTGTGTATGCATGTTAAGGATTTGCAAGAAGGTGGGTGTGCCACTGTGCATGTGGAGAGTTGTGTGCATGTCAGAACACACTTGGGTGATATACATGTACACAGGTGTGTGTGTGCAGAGAGCTGGGTGAGTGACTGTGTACATGTGAATCTGGGGCTCTGTATGTGGAGGCAGGTAGTGGGGCTGTGCATGGGTTTGGTGCTGTGTGTGCAGTCTGTATGTGAGCATGCATGTGTACATGAAGGCTGGAGCAGGTGTGAAGGCACCCATGCCTTGGCTGTGGACAAGTGGGTGGAGGGCTGTGTGGGGTGCGTGTGGCAGATGAATTTAGGCCACCTTGTCCTTAAACTGGGGCAGTTGGGGCCTTGGGGCCTAAGGGGCTTGCTTCCTAGTGCATTTTTTTGGGGGCCCAGAGCAAGGTCTGCATCCTCGGTCTCTCACTCCTTTCTCTATTGTTTTCTCTGTCCAGGTCATCAACAACTACCTGGATGCCAATGAGCCAGTGCCCTCGGAGGCCCCTCTGAGTCGCATGCACTTCTATGACAACCAAAGGAAGGTTGACTACGTGCTGGCCTACCACTATCGGAAACGTGGGGCACATCCCAGCCACAGCTCCCCTGGCCAGTCACTGGCCATCATCTCCAATGGGGAGACTGGCAAGGAGCCCCATGCTGGGAGCTCTCGTGACATTGAGCTGGGGCGGCTGGATGCCCTGGAAGAGGAGAGGAAGGAACAGCGGGAGGAGTTTGAGCACAACCTGATGGAGGCTGGGCTGGAGCTTGAGAAGGATGTGGAGGTGAGGTTGGGCAGGTGTCACAGGGCTGTGGGATGGGATGACCCTGCAGGGCTGGGTTCCTCTTGACCAGTGTCATCTGTAGGGAGTCTTGGGTTTGTTCAGAAAGGTGGCTTTTTTTTTCTGGTGGAAAAAACATATTTTCTTGCCCAAGGACTTGAGAAAGAGTCTTGGTATAGCTACTAACTCTACCTAGGGGATCCCAGGTAGTAGGTGTGTGTGTGTGTGTGTGTGTGTGTGTGTGTGTGTGTGTGTGTGCACGCGCCAGGCTCTTATGTGGGAGTCAGCCTGGTAGGGACTGAAGGCAGGACATTTCTTCCTGGTGTTCTCAGACCCCATCCTATGGCCTTCTCTGTAATGGTTTCCTTGGGATAAAGACCCTGTTTTCCTGTTGAATTATGGATCAAAATTCCAATATACAGTCTCTACTTCACTAAGGCATGTGCTTGCCTAGGACCCTGAGGGAGTTGGTTATTTGGGAACTAAACATGTGAGCTATATATATTCTCACCTCTGGGCAGTAGTCATCTTAAGGGAACCATGGAAATTCACTTATCTACATATCTGTCTATTGTCCATCCATTCATCAATCCCTTCATCCATCCATTTATTAATTCATTTACCCATCCATTTCTCCACACCACAGTGATCCTTTAAAAATGTCCTGCTATCACCATACTCTCCAAACTCATTTTCTACTCCTCCCATCCTCCTGCACCCACTCCAGCCCACCAGCCTTATCTTGTATGGGTTGGCCACCCTCATGTCAAGGCCTTTGTACTGGTTGTTCCTTCTGCCTCTGTACCCTTCTCCAGACCTGAGCATACCCACTCCCCTACTCCACACTTCTGCTCAAATGCCACCTCCTTCCACACATCTTCCCTGACCATCCTAGCTAGAATACCACTGCCCCATCACTCTGTTCCTTGATTCTGCTTTACTTGTCTTCATCACATGTAGCCCCGCTAGCTGAAATAACATGAGAGGTTTATTTGTTTTTATAATCTGTGACCCACCTGCTCCATCAAGACAGTCTTATTTGGGTCACTGTTGTATCCCCAGCACCCAACACAGAGTCTAAACAATAAAGTAGTAGGTGCTTAACTCATGTTAGTTGAATAAATAAGAGATCTCCCCAAGTCTCAGCTTCCTCATATAATAGACACCCCTATGGATTTTAGTTTTACATGTCCCATTATTAGGTCAGGGTAATGAGGACATTCAGCACAATATTTGGCACATAGTAGGTGCTCAATAAATACTCATTATGATTCTTTTTAGAGGTATCATGTTGAGGGGTGCAGTGCCATTCTCATCAGAAACTGTTTTGTAAGAATCAAGGTTGTCCCCAAACTGGAAGGGACCCCTAGAGTTCATTCATACATTTCTCTGTCTCCAGGCAGGATGGCATGTGGCCTGACTCAGACCTTCTTTGTGCTGACCCTGCTGCTTATCCAGACCCTTAAGCCAGGAGCTACTTCTCTCGTTATTCTTTTCCCCAGTGTAGGGAAAGTGCTCTCTTTTTAGGGATGCTTGGGGTCCCTTCTTGTGAGAGTGCTGATTTTTAATTTTTAAAACCCAAAGCTCACTTGGTGCCTCTAATTGGGGTCTGGTGGGAAGGTTTCTTGCGGTAGTCCTATGTTTTGAGGGCCAGAGAACTTTTGGCACTACCATTATGTAGAGGCTGCAGTACACACACCGGCCTGTAGGTGACAGGGTGTGGAGGCCCCACTTTGTTTCCCGGCTCAGCTGTGAAGCATTGTGCTCAAGATGTGTGCAGTAGGTCCTCAGGTTACATGGGAAATTCGTTCCTATCGTGCGAAGTAATGCGATTTTCGCCGTAAGTCGGAACCCACCTACATAAGCACCTATGTCACTCACATGGAGCACACACACAACAGTAATGAAGTGAAAGAGTAAAAAAAATTAAAAGAACGATAACAATTCCTGATCTTTACTTGTGGTAAATAGATAATAAAAAACATAAAGCACATATATACATACGTAGAAATGACGGAACTTTTGTTTAAAATAAATAAATGGGATATGGCGACGTACCCACAAAACAACGTACGTACATTGAGTCTGACATAACCCGAGGACTGTCTGTACTGTTAGATCCAGAGACACGGAAGCATCAAACAGACTGTCAAATCTTAGAGGGAAGGCAGGGGAGGGTGGGTGGAGTACAGAGAACAATCAATGAACTTGTATGTATATATGTATAACCCATGGATACAGACAATAGGTTGGTGAAGGCGTGAGAGCAGTATGGAAGAAGTCAATAGGGGAAAATGGGGACATATGTAATACTTTAAACAATAAAGATTAAAAAAAAAACATGGACTCTGGAGTGAGAGTACAGATGTTCACATCCCAGGCCTGGCATATATCAGCCTTACATTCTTGGGCAAGTGACTAGATCCTTTTGAGTCAAAGTTTTCATTTCTATAAAGTGAAAATAACAATATGCTCTTCATTGGGTTGTTATGAATGTGAAACAAGACAAATAAAGTATCTAGAACAGTATTTGCTATGATTGCTATGTAGAGTTAACAGATTCAGCAGATAAAAATTCACAATGGCTAGTCAAATTTGAATTTTGAACAATAAATAATTTTTAGGATAAGTGTGTCCCATGCAATATTGAGGCTATACTTATACTAAAAATTATTTGTTGTTGATTTCAAATTGAAATATAACTGTCCTGTTGACTTTTACTACTATTACTAATAGTATCACTGCCCATCTCTGCTGCCTTCCATCATGTCTTATTTTAGTTGCTATTGGATTTTCCTGGCTTTGGCTGGGAATTAGGATTGACCAGTGTTAGATGGGGCTGTGGAGTGGATCCTGGATTGTTGTTGCCACCAAAAGCTGCTCCTTCCCAGTCCCCACCCCTGCCTTCAAAGTCTATCTAACTCCTTCTTCCTAGGTCTATTTCAACTTTGCTGGCTCCCCCTTCTGTCACCAGAGCTCCCAACATTCATGTAGCCATCAGGACCTACTGTATTCTCTCTCTCTCTCTCTCTCTCTCTCTCTCTCTCTCTCTCTCTCTCTATATATATATATATATATATATAAAATCTCCTTCCCTCCTAAAAATGTATTATTGTTATTAGTTTTGGGACCTCTGATGCAAAGAATTGAGTTTATCACACTTCTCAATCATGGTGTATTATTATCATTGTTCTGCACAAGGACCCCCCTCTCCTTATTTATTTAAATATCTCCCCTCACTCTTCACTGCCTGCTCACTCCACAGGTAATTATTCCAATGCTTTGTGGTTATGGGAAATGTATAGTGTCATTTTTGCTTTATGTATTTTTTTTTCATTTTAAAATGGGCTTTATTGTTTAGAACAGTTTTAGATTTACAGAAAAATTGGACAGAGTTCCCATATACCCTCTACCCAGTTCTCCTATTATTAGCATCTAGATTAATATGGTACATATAACACTACTAATGAACCCATGTCAATACATTATAATTAACTAAAATCTATACTTTATTCAGATTTCCTTAGTTTTTGCCTACTGCGCTGTTTCTGTCCCAGGATTGCATCCTAGACACCTCATTGCATTTTGTGGTCATGATCCCTTAGGCTCCTCTTGGCGGTGGCAGTTTCTCAGCACTGTGTGCATTATGAATTTATATAGGGCCCATTCTGTTTCCACTTTTTCTCTCAGCCCTATATTTTTCAGACCATTCACATTCTGCATGTGCATCTAGTCCATTTTTCTCCTAATGGATGAATAATATGCCCTCCCCACAATTTAACTAGCCACTCCCATGATGATAATGGATATTAAGTTGCTCCTATCAATAGTTGTGTGCCACCGACAAGACTAAGAATGAATAGTTACCTCCTTCAGGGCAGGTGGCTCATGATCTTCTCTGCCCACTCCCAATCCCCCATTACCCATGCCATGTTGGTAAATACAAATTAGAGATGCATTAACTGGGACCTGTGAAGATCTGAACAACTTTCTGGAGGACTGTTGGGGTCTGAGAAACTCTTCTCTGTGTTAGGATGCTCAGCCTCTGGCCTTGAGCCGCGCAGTCTGGAACTGGCACGTCACAGGAGAGGGGACATTGCTTGATGGCCCCTGGTGGCAGCTTGGAGAGCAGATGTCCAGGCCCCTCCTTCTTAGTTGTGTCCCCTCTCCCCCATTCTAGAGTGGGTTGTCTTTTGGGTTCTGGGTTCACTTTGGTTTTAAGATATTGGAGAAAAGTGAGTTCCTATGAGAGACCCATTAAACATTACTCACTCAGGAGTAAAGTAAAGGAACTTTGCATCCACCAATCTGATTGAGTATTGCAGAATTCACTTCTGACTTTAGTTGCTACTGGCCCACTTTAGAGAGGATGATAGTTGGTGCTTATCTTTCATTTGGTGCTTCACTTTTTCAGTTTATGTGCATATTTCCATATACTGGCAGTGTCCATGTTCATATTTTAAAGACTATTCAGTAATTTTCAATAGTTTTCCTGTGTATTTTGTTACATTATGCCATTTGATTATGATTTCATTTAGAAACACTTGCTTCTTCACTGCTGATTTGGGCAGGTGAGGGCCACCTGTGTGGAGATGGGCACCTGCCTGCTGCTGACTTCTCTCTGACCCATTATAGAGCTTGTGTCTGCAAAACTCTCACATCTCGCTTTGCTAGGAATATAGGACTTAGGACATTTCCTGATCCTTAGGGAAACCTTGCTGTTTGGTTTTCCAGGGTGACAGTATCCCAGGGGAGGTCTTCCTGTCATCACTCTGTCTCAGGCATTGAGAGCTGGCTGTTGGGAGCTGGAGTGAGAGGAGTGGTGTATTTCTATGGGACAAGGGTCCCCACACCCCTGCTAACTCCATGATAAAATTAGTCTGCTTCCTCCTCTGGAATGGGGTAGGGGTTTGCATTCTTAGGAAAGGCTGTAGCACATGCAGAGAAAATGCAGAGATGTGGAAGTTAACAATGCCCCAGTCCATACTGTTTCTTGGCGATGG